TGTAAGGTGATTCCTGGAGAGAGCTTGACGTCTCAACATATGATTTTGGTATTAGATTTATGCTTTAAAGGGTAATACCATGCTCGAAAAGATAGTAGGCATCGCAGGATTAGATGGTGGGACCTAAAAGGGGATAAAATAGACACATTTAAGAATAGAATGGATAAAGAAGGTACTTGGAACATAGAAGATGATGCTAACACTATGTGAAACTCGATAGCAAATTGTATAAGGAGAATCTCAAGTGAAGTTCTTGGAGAATCGAAAAGAAAATGACCAAACTTTAGAAAAACTTGGTGGTGGAGGGAGGAGGTCCAAGTGGTAATAAAGACAAAAAAAGTGAGTTTTAAAAAATGGTAGAATGATAAAACTAAGAAAAACCTTAAGCGTTATAGATTGACTTATAAGGAGGTCAAAAAAGTAGTAAAAGAGACTAAGTTGAAAGCCTATGATGACCTATACATTGGACTAGATAGCAAGGAGGGAGAAAAGAAGATATACAAACTTGCCAAGATAAAAGAGAGGAAAATAAGAGATTTTAATCAAGTTAAGTGCATTAAGGGTAAGGACTCTAAGGTGTTGGTGAAGGATGAAAAGATTAGGGAGAGGTAGAAGTACTATTTTGAGAAGTTGTTAAATGAGAAATATGGAGGTACGTCAAAAGGGGAGGAAATAAACAGTAATAAAGAAAATCAGGACTATAGGTTCTATCATAGATTAGGAACTTTGAAATTGAGTTTGCATTTAAGAAGATGAAATTGAATAAGGCTTTAGGGCTCGATGATATACCTATTAAAGCGTGGAAATGTTTGGATAAGAAGGGGGTTATTTGGTTGACTAGGTTTTTTAACAAGATTTTGTTGAGTAGAAAAATGCCAGAGAAGTGGAGGGAGAGTATTTTAGTGCCAATATATAAGAATAAAGAAGATGTCTAGAATTGCAATAACTATAGAGGAATCAAATTAATGCGTCACACAATAAAAATGTGGAAGAGAGTGATGAAACGTTGATTCCAAGATATAATAGAGGTGTTGGAGAATAAATTTGGATTTATGCTTTCATCAATGAAAGCGATTTATCTTTTGAAGTGAGTAATAGAAAAGTATAGAGAAAAGAAAAGAGACATTCATATTATTTTATCGATATTGAGAAAGCATATAATAGAGTGTCTCGAGATATAATCTAGTGGGTGCTAGAGAAGAAATTGGTGACAAAAAGTTACATTGATGAGATTAGAGATATGTGTGAAGGTATGGTGACCACTATTAGATCGCCTGCTGGAGAGACGAGTGAATTTCTAATTACTGTAGGGTTACATCAAGGATTAACTTTAAGTCCTTATCTTTTCGCTTTAGTTATGGATGAGTTGACGCGCAATATTCAAGGTAATGTGCCATGGTGTATGCTTTTTGCAGATAATATCGTATTAGTGGATGAGATTAGAGAAGGAGTTAACACTAAGTTGGAGATTTGGAGAAAAACACTTGAATATAAAGGATTTAGGATAAGCAGAACTAAGACAGAGTATATTGAGTGTGATTTTTGTAACAGTTACAATGGAAGTAGAGAAGAAGTGAAAATTGAGAATCAAGAACTGTCTAAGAGTGAACATTTTCGTTATTTATGATCGATTATGTAACAACCCCGACCTCTGATTAACGTTAATCCATGATTAATTATGCCTAATATGTAATCAAGAAGAAATCTTGAATTAATTGCATGTGTTATGTGCTATATGAGTTTCCATCTGTTCTGTGTAGGAATATCTGTCCCTAGTTTTTGTTCTATTCTGTAAATTGAAGGCCCTATCAGCATCCGATCATGAAATTGACTTGATTTTTGTGTTAGTTGGAATTTTTAGAATTTTATGGTAGGCTTAATTAAAATTCGAATAAGAACGAATTAATTAGAATAGTTAATGTCTATTTGATTAATGGTAAGCTCAATTACTTAAACCTTCTTAATTAAGCCTATATAAGGCATGTGAGAGCTCTAGGACACATTTTACACCTTCTTCATCCTCATCTTCTTCAACAAAACGTGTGAGAGAGGGAGAAGATAAAACTTGAGCTCAATTAAAGGGAATTGCTAGAAAAGAGAAGGATTTGGAGAGAACTTGGAAAACTAAGCTCTCACATTTGAGAATTCAAAGCTTGAGGTAGAAATTCATTCCTTTAGTTGTATAGTTGTAGTCCTTAATGCATGAATTCAAGAGAGTTAGCTAATTAAGCCAAGAACTAAGCTTAGGAAGAAGAATTAAAAAGATAATGACACATGCATGCAAATTCTCTTATATTTAGAGCTTGATTTTGAGGAAGTCTCACATGCATGCATTGATCATGGCCTATTTTTGGAAGTTCATCATATTTCACATGTTTTTACCTTACTTGATTATGTTTTGGAAGGTTAAAATTCATATCATCACATGCAAGCCATATTTTCAACAATTCAAGTTTGATTTTGGATAATTGGCAAAACTTTTGGGTTGATTTTTGTGAAATGGTTTGTAATTCTTCACATGATATGAATTTCTCAATGTTTCCTCAAGTTTCTAGCCCAAAAGGATGTATTTTGTTAGGTTGAATTTGGGTTTTGAACTTGGAAGAGCAATTTGAAAATTCTAGATTCTGCTTCCATGCTCGAGCGACAGATCCTGCGCTCGAGCGACCACCCTTTGTTTTGCACTTTCGCTCAAGCAACTAAAAGTTGGCTCGAGCATAAGATGCATGCTCTCAGAAGTTCATTTGTTTTGCAGACCACTCGAGCGACAAGAGTTTTGCTCGAGCGAGGACAAGAATCTCACGCTCGAGCGAGCGTCGAGCGAGCATCGAGCGAAAAAATCAAGCAACCAGTACTTTTGCAAAAGTTTACAGACTGCTTGAGCGAAGGAAGTTGTGCTCAAGCGAGGACCCTATTTTCAACAAAAGACCCTGTTTTCAACAAGTTTTGTTAAGTGTTTTCGAGTGCATTTTAGCATCCTCATTGCATCATAAGCATTCTTAGGCCATGGTTAAGACACAATAATGATGATAAGAAGTAAAAACACACCAAGAAAAGAAAGAACTAAGTTAGTGATTTCGGGTGTGTAATTCAGTACGTATTCGTTCTGTATCTGTGTAGGTCACGTGCCACAATATATTTGAATTGCCTACTCTGTTCGTTTATTTGGAGTCATCTGTTAATTATGAGTAATAACTCTGTAAAGTTATGTTTGACTTTAATTATTTTTTGATGATATGAAATGATTAGCTTTCTGAAATGCTATGCTTTATATAAATGAATGATTGTCCATATTTTGAAAAGTATTCGTGGCAACAATTCCATGGCCCAAGGGTGTTATCCGTTCTCAGTCCGGAGGTTCCTTTGTGGAACTGACAAGTTATCTGTATCTAGTCGGAGGTTTCTTTATGAAATTGACAAGTTATCCATACCCAGTCTGGAGGTTCCTATATGGAACTAACAAGTTATCCGTACGTGGCCGGAGGTTCCTATATGGAACTGATAAGTATGACCCTTGATGTTTTGTATGTGATCTGTTAGCGCTAACGGATGTGAGATTAAGTATGTATTCTGATTTCTGTTGTTGACTTGAACAAGAATGTAAATGTAAATCTGTTTCTGATATAAATTTTGATTTATGACTGTGTTATGGACATCATCATTTATCAAAACCCTTTACTCCGTTGTTATTTACTAGGCTCCTGCTCACTATTTATAATATATATGTAGGTGAACAGGTGCGTGACCAGGTTTAAGATGATGCCTGAAGAGTTTTATGTTGTCAGCCACCCTTTGGTACCTCCCGAGGAGGTTCCGGATCACGCCAAGTCTTGCGGTCTTGTTTTGTAAATGTTTAAGACTTTATTTCTTTTGGTTTGGTTTACGAACAAACTTTCTATTAATTACACATGAAGTGGTGTGTGGCTACTGTAATTTTTGACGTCACACGTATGTTTATAAAAGTTTAAGATTATCTGTCTCATGTATATCTTCACAGCTCAATGAACTACATATATTTTTGTATATTGCTTTCGCAGCCCCTAATTATATGTTATTATGTTAACAGGCCTTGGGTAATTCAAGAATTACTGGCCGGTTACGACGCTAAATCTATAGGGGCGGGTTTAGATCGTAACAAATTATCTCAACGACTAGGGAGATTAGAGTGGACGTGGTCTATAAAATTAAGGCGGGATGGTTTAAGTGGAGGTGTGCATCTGGAGTACTGTTCTATAAACAAGTACTTATTAGACTAAAAGGGAAGTTCTATAGAACGGTTATTAGACCAACGATATTGTATGAGACGAAATGTTGGGCAACTAAGAAATAACATGTAAATAAGATGAGTATTGCTGAGATAAGGATGATAAGGTGGATGTATGACAAGATTAGAAAAAATAGAGTTATGAATAAGTATATTTCAGAATGGGTATGAGTAATACCCATAGAAGATAACTTGAGAGAGAATAGATTGAGATGGTTTGATCATATATAATGGAGACCAATAGAGATAGTAATAAAGAAATGAGATATAGTGACGGTAGATGATAATGTTAAGGGAAGGGATAGATATAGATTGACGTGGACTAGTGTAGTAAATAGAGATATGAATTTTTTTAATTTGACTAACAAAATAATTTTGAATAGAATCGAATAGAAAAAAATAATTTATACAACTGGTCTCCTTTAATAAGATTTAAGGCATACTTTGATTTGATTTAGAAATTATATTAAATGCCCTCGAATTAGAAGCTTGTGAGAAGTTATTGTATTGTCCAAGAGCATGGCCATCTGGTGTGCTAACAGCACGTTGATGGATATTCTGATAAATTACAATTCTCAATTCCTAATATATTTCTTAATATTTTTTCATGTCTCTATCATTCCGCTAAAAAAGACTATTTTCCAACGAAGCTTCTCTTTCCCTGTTTCTCTATTTATTTGACCTTTTTATTGTTAACTTTCCCATTCCATCCTAGGAACTTACTTCCCCCCCCCTCTCCTCCCTTCTCTCTCTCTCTCTCTCTCTCTCTCTCTCTCTATTGAGATTGCATGTCGGTTTTACCTACAAGCTCCACATGCTTGGAGCTAGCCATGTCAATACCAGGTTTTGTTTCATCACAGTCTCTTCCTTCTTCTGGTAAGCTTGTCTTCTTTTGTATATACCTCTCTCTCTCTCTCTGTCTCTGAATTTCTTGTTATATTCTCCATCTGCACATGGTTTTTCTGATGGTTGGATGATCAAGTTTGTATTGTAACGATTTTATGAAGATGGGTTCGGTTTTATTTATTGATTTGGGTACACTTTTTGTTTAAATCTGAATGTGTAAAAACAATGAAGGAGATCATACTGGTAACGGTAATAGTATGAGGATGATGATGAAAGATTTGGATATAAATCAAGTGCCCAGAGACTCAGGAGGAGGAGGAGGAGGTGGGGAAGAAGAGTGGACAACAACTGTTGCAAGCATGGAAGATGAAGAAGAAGAGACCAACAATGATGGAGCCAGTGGACCTCCCAGGAAGAAACTCCGTCTCACAACGGAACAGTCTCGTATCCTTGAAGAAACCTTCAGATTTAATCACTCCTTGAACCCTGTAAAGACCCTTCTTACTCTTCTTTCTCTAACTCACACTATTGATTGAAAAAAAAATAAAAAAATAAAAAATAAATAAAAACACTGTTGATGTGATATCATCGATCCAATAAGAACAGAAGTAATGAAATGAGTGGAATGAGTGGAGCCGAGAACCGACCTACCTCACCCTGATTGGTGAGAGATGGGAGCATAGTTCTAAATATAGGCCGATACGCTACGTATCGGCCGATACGTATCGGAAAAATGGGGTACCGCGACGGATACAAGTCGATATACCACTGAGATTGAAAATCACAGGAGTATCGGCCGAGTCCCGGTACGTATCGGCCTATAAGCGTTATACAAGCCGTTACACAAGCCGCGACGGGCCGATACTCACCGGTTCGGACCGGTACGAGAAAGAAAAAGTTGAAATACCTTTGAAATGATTTTTAAAATTTTACCACCGCGACACCCGATTCCCGATACGTACTGATCGATACTACCGATACCGATACTCCGCGATCGATACCGTTACGTTACTCGATACCGCGATTTAGAACCTTGGATGGGAGATAAGGTCGATTCCATTCATCTTTTCTTGTGCAGCATCAGTGAGTGATCGAGACTGTTATGTGCATACACTAATGACCATACTTCGAAAGTATTAAATAATTTTTGGTATCTAGGTGTTTATATGTATATGATCTGATTGTTTTTATTTTACTTTATTTTGATGCAGAAACAAAAGGAGGATTTGGCAATGCAGTTAAAGCTGAAGGCACGGCAAGTTGAGGTGTGGTTTCAAAACCGCAGAGCAAGGTACTGTACTTAATCATTGTTGTTCTTGTTACTTTTGTTTTTGTTTTTGGAATATATATAAAAATGATTTGTTTGATGTTCGTTTCCCCTTTGATGATGATGAATTTTTTTTTTCTTCTCTCCAGCATGACAGCAAGTTGGTGTGGTTAGTGCTTGGTATTAAATAGGTAGAGTTTTAAGGATCAAATATCTTCTGGGAAAAAAAAAAATTCATGTTAAATAAATATTATTATATCATTACAATATATAAAAGTTTTAAGGATTAAATTTTTTCAGTCTTTGAAAATAAAATTTTGCTTTCAATAAATATTGAGACATCAATTCTTGTCATCATGAAATTGTCAGAGAGTTTATCCTTTGTGACAAATAAATTTTTTGTGTCAATAAATATTAAGACATCAATCCTTGGTCATCATGAAATCGTCACAAAGTTATCCTTGTCGTCAATAAATACTAAGTCTTTGACAATTTATCCTTGGTTTTGATTTAATAAACTTTATTTTTTGCTGATAAAAAAAAAATCATCACAAAAAGATCGAAAAATCAAAAAAGACGTTTAGATTTGCGATAATGCTATCATGTTATGTTTATTGTTCATCGGTTAAAGTTGCATTGATTTGAAGAATTTAAATACTCATATCAGTTATCAATCTACTAATGAAATGGTAAGTTATAAGTTAAGTTTATGAGAGGCTAGTATGTTTATGAATGATATAAAAGAAATTTTAAATTATAACTTTGGATTGCTTTGAGAAGGTTACATTGCCAAAATTCCACCATTAAAAGTCAAAAATTTTCTCTACTTTTTTACATTTTTTATTTTTATTTTTATTTTTTTGTAAAATTTTTAAAAATAACTAAAAAAAATTAATTCTCAAAACAACCATTGTAATAGAGAAAAGCCCATTCCTCTATAAATATATATAAAATGTTTGTTTGTGTTATCATTTCTTTATATTTTCTGAAAAAATAGTAAATTACCTCAGCAAATTATTTTCAATGATTTTTTTTTTAAAATAATTAGTGTTCTTATAAAATATATATAAATTATTTTGAAAAAAATAAAAATGATATAAAAAATATGAATATCGTAAAAATTTTATTATTTTATTCCTGAAAACGTAAAAATAAAACCAAAGAAAACAAAGTGAAACCAAATAGACTAAAATCAAAGAAAAAACAGCTAAACAATAGTGTTTTGGGAAATTTTATAAAACACACCCTATTTTTGGTGTGTATAATATGCCCATTTATGATGTTTGTGATTTTTTTGTTGTGATCTACATGGTGTTAGTCATGATGTAAGTTATGACTCATCATGATATTGTTTACAATCCATTGTGATTATTATTTTAGTTATATCTTATGTGATATTTGATTATGAATTATTACATTTTTTAATAATTATAATTGAAAAAATAAATAAACTATGACATTATCAAGACCACAAATATCATATATATTCTAAAATGTCAATACACTCGTTGGAGCTGTTTGTTATAACTTTTAGGAGGTAATTATAATTTATTTTAATTTAAGAATTTGTGTTAGATTATTTGGTGCAACTTTTACTTATAACTTATTACTATATAGAAATAGTTTAAATAAATTAATTATTTAAAAGTTAAGAAAAATGTGTTTTTAACTTCTACTTTTTAATTGTCAATTTTTAATTTCAAAAACAAAAACTCCACAAAACAAGGCCGATATGAGTATAATGGAACTCACTTCTAGTTCCAGGTCGATAATTCGAACAGTTAAATATTATTATTATTATTGGGGTTGGAAAATGACGCAGGAGCAAGCTGAAACAGACAGAGATAGAGTGTGAGTACTTGAAGAGATGGTTTGGGTCATTGAGGGAACAAAACCGTAGGCTACAAAAGGAAGTGGAGGAGCTGAGGGCCATCAAGGTAGGTCGTTGTGATGAGCCACTACACTCGGCATCCACCCTCACCATGTGTCCCAGTTGCGAACAAGTCGCGGCCGCCACCAGCACCACCATGCATGACATTGACAAGGGACCCATCAGAACCACCGCCTCCGCGACCAACCAAACAAGCCTGTCTTCTAAAGTGCATACCATTCATAATCATTCCCGACATCCTTCCGCAGCTTTCCCCCATAAAATACATTGACCCTCGTGAAAGAAAAAGAACATAACAATATATTAGCGGTGCGAGTAAATGTGATGTGGTTTGTATTTCTATATTTAAATTTTTTTTGAACGATTTAATGAGAATTGTATTTGAAACTGGTTTGGCAGTCGTTGGAGGTAGAGTTTTTCGAGTTGTTATTAATTTTACAAATATTTTTGAATAAATACAACAATGTGACAAAATTTATGATAACTTTTTTGAGCTTATAGAATTTCTCTCTTTTAATGTTTTGTTTAGTTTGATACAAGTTATTTATGTTATCAAGTGACACACAAAATATATATAGTCTATTTTTTTGTGCATCGCACGAGTTACCGCTAGTATATATATATTTGAGTGTATATCATATTTATAACGCATGACATCTTTGTAATTCTATAATACATGAATCATGATGTCTATTTAGTAGTAGATAAATTATTATGGGTAAATTACATTTTGTCTCCGTAAAGTTGCATCAATTTCTCATTTTGGTCATTTAAGTTTAAGTTTTTTTACTTTGACATTTCATATTTGCAATTTTTTTCATTTTGGCTCTTCATGTTTGCAATTCTTCTAATCACTTTACTCTTAGACTAACTTTCATACAAAAAACTAACATAATCTGTCATATCACCAACACACCACCAGCTTCACATGTGATGTAAAAAAATTCACTAAAGATACAAAAAATAAAAAATAAAATACAAAAAAATTGATTGTTTTTTTTAATCTTTAGCAAACTTTTTTCCAAATTTATTCATAAACATTATTACATTATAAATGCACTTAGATTAGATGCACCTAAAAAAAAATTTAACTAAAAAAAGAAAAAAGTTCACGAAAAACGAAAAAAAAGAAAATATACTGACTCAAACACCTATATTGTTAATTCTGAAATGAACTCAAAATACCTGTATTGTTAGTTCTGAAATGAAAAGTTTACTACCGTTTTTTTCGTCTTTAATAAACTTTTTTTTTTATTTTTTAGGTGCATCTAATCTATAGATGCATCTATAATGTAGTAATGTTTATGAATAAATTTGAAAAAAAAGTTTACCAAAGACTAAAAAAAATTCTAATTTTTTTGTTTTATATTTTTCTTTTTTTCCATCTTCAGTGAATTTCTTACATTACACATAAAATTGATGTGTAAGTGATATGACAGATTCTATTAGGTTTTTAGATGGAAGTTAGTTTAGGAATAAAGTGAGAAGAATTGCAAACATGAAGAGCCAAAATGTGAAAGATTGTAAATATGAAGGGCCAAAATAGGAAAGATTATAAATATAAAGGGTCAAAGTGAAAAGAATTATAAATATAAAAGATTAAAGTAAAAAAAATTAAATTTAAAAGGGTCTGGCTTTGGTCCAGTCCACCATCGGACTGGACCGTGCTGTTGGGCCCATGGGGGCTCATAATGGGTCCCGTTTAGAAAATTTGAACCGTTCAATGTGTAGAACTCTTTGAGTATTATGTCTATAAAAAATCACGTTGATCGAATATCGATAGCTATGTGATCAAATCAGTTTTGTATAAAAAAAATGAACGGTGAATAAATTAACAGTTGACAAAAAACTGATATGATCACATAACTATCGATATCCGATCAAAGTAATTTTTTACAGGAATATAGTACTCAAAGAGTTTTACACATTGAACGGTTTAGATTTTCAAAACAGAACCCGTAGTGAGCTCACACGAACTTAATGGTACGGTCCAATCCAATTATTAACTGGACCAACACCGGACTCAATTTAAAAAACTAAAATAAAAAATAAGTGAAACTTTAAGGGGGGTAATTTACCCAATTATTATAATTGTACCTTCTTTTCGTTCCGTAGTATTTGCACGTAAAATGCTCCATTGTCAGTTGCCAACAACAAGCACGTGGCACTCCAATTCCAAATAGCCGAATTAATTGACATCTTTTTATATTCATTTTCTTGTATTCCGAGCTAAAAATAACGGCGAGACCAGAAATTTTTTTTTTTTTTTTAAAAAAAAAAAAAAGTTACAAATCAATAAAACAATTATAAAATAATTATATTATAAATAATTTTTTGTTGTTGTTACTTTTAACACACAAGATTTGTATAAAAAATAAAAATAAATAAAAAGTAATTATATTTAGGTTTGGTTTGGCATTTTCAAAATAATTCAAAAAGTCAAAAAGTTACAAAATAAAGTTAAAAAGTTATCACTATTTACTAAAAAAAAAAATAAAAAAATTAATTTTACACAAAAAATAATAAAACTCATCTGACGTCCCCCCAGGTGAAGCTAATTTTTTTGAAAAAATTGTACAGTCATATTGCACAAAAAGCACACTGCTGTTCGGCCCATGGGGGGCCATCACAGGTCCCGTTTTTATAATTTGAACCGTTCAATATGTAGAACTCGTCGAGTACTATATGCTTGTAAAAAATCATGTTGATCGAATATCGTTAACTATATGATTAAATCAGTTTTGTATAAAAAAAGGGATGGTGTTATAGTTAACAGTTAAAAAAAAACTAATCGATCAGATAGCTATCGATATCTGATCAACGTGATTTTTTATAAATATGTAATACTCGACAAGTTCTACACATTAAACGGTTTCGATTAGTAAAAAGAGACCCGTGGTGGCCCCCCAGAAGCCGAACATCACAGTCCAATGCAATGCCCGCAAATGAGACAATAATTTCTTATGTCAAATGGTTGGTCGTACTGCTACGCTTCCTGCCTTCTCTTACACACTAATTTATACAATTTTTTCGTAAAAAGTTAAAAAGTTAACTTAAATAACTATATTTTGTTCTTTAACTTTTTAGTCTAAAAAGACAAAAAGTATTCTTATTTAAGACACCACAAACAACCCATTTACATTTAACCTATATGTTTTATTTTCCTTTCTATCCTACTTAAATTCATGATTTTTTAAAATGTATGAGCTCAACACTCAATTCTCAATACGTATCATTCAATATTCTCGATATTGGTACTTCGCAACCGATACCATTATATGTTTTAATACCGCGATTTAGAATCATGATAAATACACTGATTTGCCTCGTGAGGGTTGTATTTGATTGAGCAATTTGGTTCTACGGATTAATAATTATATGGAAGTCTTCAATTAAATCTATTTGAGGGGAGTTATGAGGTGATCCTTCCTTGATCAAGTTCACAAGCTAATAATCTGTCGCTATGTCCAATCACTGCTAGCCTTTCTCAAGGATAATAATAGTGAACCCTTTGTAGATCTCACACAACGCTGCTTCAAGGCTAGATTCACTATCCAATCTTCTTGAGTAGAAGATTCGTTGTTCTCTTTCATACCAAGAGAGGTCACCATAGCCAGGATCCCTTTTGCACTTCAATCAACACTTTTTTGAGTTTTCTTATAATAAGTTTAGGTTTGAAATATGGAAGCTTAAAATGACAAGAGGTTGGCTGAGTAATAAAAATTTGAGAATAAAATCTAAGATCTTGAATATCAATTACTTCCAAAGGTCACTAGAAGTTTGTTTGATTGTTAATTTTAGGACCCCAATATTAGTCGAAGTGTACGCAAATTGGTCCGGACCTCCGCTTATCAAATAAAAAATATGTATGAAAGCTTATATTTGAAGTTCTAATTTTAAATGATAAATATTTTGGATTAACAACTAGTGTAGATTTAGAATTTACTTTATTTATTTTTTTAGGATGATATCAAATTATTGACTAAGGTTAGTAAGGGCATGAGAGTACTTTTTTTCGAGCTTAAGCATGAGAGAGAGAGAGAGAGAGAGAGAGAGCATCACATACGAGCCCACTTTAACCTATAAACCCAAGGTGTCTCACTTTCTCCCAACTGAACAAGTTGGGCCAAGTATTTGAGTGGGCCTAGTTTCGACATGACTGATGATTGGACTCATAAAATTAGACCCAACCCCCATGATGAAAATTTTCTTTGCAGTAGCTTAGTTATGTTTCGTTTTCTTTGTTTTTATTTCCCATTTTCCATGTTCATGTTTTCTTAAAAAAATAATAAAATTGTTGAAAACACTTATTTCTTTCATATCTTTTTATTTTGTGCGATAATAGTTGATTTTTTTTTTTCCTTCTCTAAAAAGTGGCTTATTTTGGTGCCATAATAGTAGAGGGCCAGTTGAGGCAATGTAAAAGGCCCAATAGTACATAATCTATAATTCTGCTCCCCCTAAGAAGTCCATTAATTGGGAACACATTCAGCTTGGATCAAATACCAACAAACTTCCATGATTTTAGTTTCATAAAAAAAAAATCCTGAATTTATTACAACATTTTCAACAAATGGGAATTTCATTGATGGGTCGTTAGACACACCAAATATAAACACTAAATTATATCAATTTTTTTTTTATAATAATGGCAAGTCTAGGTATCGATCCACAGGGACAATTGCGAGGTTAAACTAATTTAAATGCTGAATTTCTAAATTAATTTTGATAAAAAGATTGAGGAATTCATAAACTAATAATAATTAAATTAAACAAAACGAATAAACTAGCAATTATAAAAGATGAATTTACTGATTTGGAAAAAACCTTACAGTAATGAGTTCACCAGTAGTTACGTAAATATGTTTCAATTTGAAATCAATTATGCTACGGTTAGAACAGAATAATACTTTACAACTATAAGTTCGAAACATTTATCAAGAAAATCATCACGTTCAATGTATGGGTACGAACCATCTCAAGTAGTACGAATCGTTCACTCTAAACTAGGGTAGCTACACTACTCGTCCCTTGTAGTATGGTTCGTCTCATATCTTGAATATGAAAGAATAGAAAACTATTGTATGGAAAACATTCAACAATCACAGAAAGCCAAATACTTGAAGAAATAGTGAAATATATATATATATATATGAAACTTCTAAAACACCATACAGTTACATAACTAAGGTTTCATTAAAACCCTAGAAAAGAAGAGCCTAGCCAGTGATGGGGGAGTGGGAAGAGGTGGAAGAGATGGAACCCTCCATGGGAATTTGCTTTGAAGATTGAGAATCACCTTTTCCAAATCTTAGCCTTCTCTTTCTCCTTCAAATTTTAAAACCCTAATACAGTCTCCTTTTTGTCCTTTTATACCTTGGCTCTCTTTCAGACAAGTTTAAAAACAGCGGCATGATTTTTGAGGTTCTGCTGCACGTGCGAGAAAAGTCAACGCATGTGCGGGAAG